TAAAAAAAATAGTAGTTTTGCCAAAAATTCCATTCCTTCATTGTTCTTATTGCAGTGTACTTGATTTTGATGGGGGGAAAAACCTCGCCAGCCTGAGGGAAAATTTGAGGTAGAAATTTAGATAGGAACTGAGGTAGAAATTTTTTTTTTGATATTTGGCGCGAGGGAAAAGCTGTGATTGGGAAAAAAGTGATTTTTTTTTTATTTTCGTTTGTTTTGCAGCTGAAATAACACAATTTGTCTTGTACGCATATTTTGCTTTAGCATTTTTTGCGGTAAAAATACGATGATATATTTATTTCATCAATCGGGAAACCCTATTCATGATTGATGATTCATTATCATTGTCAAGCCAGAAATGCTTCAAAAATCCACTTGCTGTGTTATATCTATATATATACTTTTAACGATGAAGGACAGAGGTCCCAACGCATAACGGAGAGCCGATGGCGTTTTTATCATGGAAGATTTGCTCAGTTTTTGGCTACTAAGCAGAAGCAGCAGCAGCAGCAGCGGGATGTGTTACACGATTTGTTATACATTTACATTCATCAAACATGGAATCTACAAGCATTGCACTGTTCAGCTACTCTATTATCGCGGATTTTAAAGAAAATATTGGAAAAATCGGAAAAAAATGGAAATATTACATGTTCAGTTTTACATATGTTCAATTTTTTGCCCCATTTTTAGGTTACATAGTAATTTTTTGCGCTGTATTGTGTTCGTGTCTCAATGTGTGTGTGACTGTTGCGTGAATGCTTCGAATGATAATTGTCGCTGTTTGTGTTTTATGGCAAAATAAATTTTTCTTTACAAGTTGCTGTATCTTCGTTTTTCGTTTAAGCGAGTATTCCCCACGTCTGAATATTTTTGTAATCCTGAGCAATATTCGCTTGATTACTGGGATAGCCGACTGAAAAGTGGCGCATGTACTTCAAAATAATGAACACTAACTGGAGGTATACAGTTCAGAATAGAAGAGTTTGACAATTGTTGCGCCCGACGTGTGGTCGCATTCCATTAACAACAGTTCAGGATAGGGGAGTTTGACAATACTTGCACCCGGCGTGTGGTCGCATTCCATTAACATCACTAAAATGGGATTTTCGTACCAGTGTGTTAGCGGTCTTAGTTTTCTTGGTATTTGAAAAATATTACATTTTTATTTGTGTTTGTTTTTTTCAAATAATTTATGTTTGTTTATTCGTCATTTATATATATAATTTTCTTAATAATTATTTTCATTTGAGAAAAATTTGCGTTGGGGAAAAGGAGGCATGGGAACAAGCGAGGAGAGAAGGGTGTTGCAAACTAGTCAGAAAAGCGGTGAGGTTCTTTGATATTTGGCTTTGGGGCACTGAGTATCTTTGTTTAAAAAAAATGTGAAAAATCAGAAGGTGACTGGTGTGAAAGCGGCCTGATCTATACATGTGGATGTTGGAAGCTAAAAGAACAGAAGACGTGAAGGTCGGGGTAGTCCACTGATTTACCGCATAATTTTTAGGCAACCGTACGATTCTGATTGATGGTATATCGCAGCTGTAATGGAAAAATGTGTCGCAACTGTAATGCAAGTGGAACGCTCAACGAAAGCTCAAGAAGGTAGTTTTTATGCGTTTTTGCATATATGCAAATGCGAAAACACATATTGGTAAGAGGCTGTGTGTTCGCACTTTTTGTCACCCACTTTCAACTAGAGAACCAGAAAAGCTAAGAAGCTGGAACTTCAAGAGTATGTGCCTATCGTTTTAATATCATCACCCGCGTACGACTGGGTACCGCGTACGGACACATCAAAAAATACGCACATTTTTTGGCGGGAAACTTTTCCGCGATCATTTTACACCCTCGAACTCAACTTTTGTGTCATCAGCACAGATTTGGTATGGGTAATATTGCATCAGCGGATGCACTGTCATTATATGCTGACCAGCCTTCTGGTAGGGTTTGCGGGTTTGTTTTTTGACCTTCTTCCATCCTTCGGCAAAAAATGCTGTATCTGCCGTATCATGTTAATGCTCCGTCGAAACACAGAAAGCTATCGTTTCAGGCAAACAAAGGTACAATGAATTAGTGGAAAATTACTGCTTGCTTTTCATGAAACGTTTTGAACGGAAGGAAATTTCACTCGTTGTAAGTGGTTTCTTTTTTTGCATTACAACCTCAGATTCGTTGCAAGAAAGCTGAACCAAGAATTTGAAATTCTTGAAAAAAATGATTTTTTTGTTGCAGATTGCTGTTGAATTTTTTGCAATTTTATTAAAATACGGCTTCAAGGAGTTGATTTTTCGGCATTTCAAGAAAATTGCCCCTCCATGGATGCTCGAAAGAATGCTTCGCTCGAAGGGATATTATGGATTGCGTCGTGATTTTCCTCCTTCAAATGTGTAAGTTTTAGAATGAACTGAGGCTACAGCTCGGCTTAGCTCGGCCTTGTAAAAACACAATCGTTCCTGCACCAAGCTGTTATAGGTGTCATTTCTCTTAGCACTTGTATGGCTTCCCCCGAGCGCCGGGTGAATTTTCAGGAGCTGGGTAACCTCAAAATTTCAGCTTCATAGATTTTGTGGTTCCCGAGATGATAGTTTACTCGCCAAAATTTTCATAAAATTTCAATCTCCTCGTTTTTGTGTTTTCGAGATAACAATTTTCCCCACCAAAACTTTTCTAGGGTCGTTCATGAAACCTGAGTGTATGGGGGGAAAGGGGACTGAATAAAAATTTCCTGGGACGAAGGTGCGTAGGGGAAATTTACCTTAAAAAGGGGGGAACGGCATAGTGCTGGTTTGAGCCGCAGGGATTCCTGGTAGGGGGAGTGGTTGAGGCGGTCAAAATGTACTTATCACACTTAGCAGCCATTTTTCTACCCTTTTTATCTAGAAGCCATTGTTT